AAAAAATATAATCTTTTAATTAAATGAGATGTAAGGTGGTGTTGTGAATAAAAGTTTGTGAGTAAAAAATTGTGAATAAATCATTATCTTACAAAGAAAGCGGAAAAAAATCATTTTCTTAAAAAAAATTGTCCACCGTGGCATGAATCCACCACGTTGCAGCGCTCCCTCGTCCTCGCCTGATCAACACGTGGTGGACCTCACTTCTTTTCAATGACGTGGCGCTATATCCTTTTCGGATTCCAGCAGCATCTTGGGTTGGGGTTTGGACGTTTGCTTTAGTTAAATTAAACTGAATAAAAACTCTTTTTTTTTTTGGATCTTAACTGAATAAAAAATTTTGGTTAATCAATCTAAACTTGAAATTAAAAAAAAAAAAAGGTCCAGTGGATTATTTTGATTAATAAAAAAAATTAACTGAAATTAAATATTGTTCAATTATTTTCTTAAGATTTGTAAACATTAGACCTATAACTAGAGATATTTTAAAAATATTTTTTTAAAATTTATGCTCTAAAATATAGATTAAGAGTGCTTTTTTATCATAAATATGTATAGAATAATGTAAAAATTGATATTAATTTTAAAATTGTTTTCATTTAGATAAATTAAATATTAATATATTTTTTAAGACTATTAACTTCCCTAAAAAAACCCTTTTAAAAAATACAATAAAAAATTAAAGATAAACTTAAAATGAATCACACATAATTTAACACTTTTTACAAAATATAAGTTACTATGACCAAATGTTATTTATTTATTTATTTTTATGTAAATGGAAAAGTCGAGTACAACAAATTAATAAAATACTGATTTGATCACATGAGTACAGTACTGATTTTAATTTATTTTAAATAAATCGTAATTCAACGCTTGTGAAAAATGTTCTACTCAAACAATATTGGCAAAAAAAAAAAAAAAAGCTCCTGTACTTTTTAAGGTGTGGCAAAAAGGCTCCTAAATCCAAGTTTGAGGCAAACAAGTCTATGTGGTCTTCAGGTTGTGGTTCTAGCCCTTTTTTAAAGGTTTTCATAAGTTTTAAACCCTTAAACTCAAGTGAATTTTTAATTAATTTTTTTGCTAAAATTGACGAATTACTTAAATAAGAAATACAAACCCAAGTTCTAAGAGATAAAACAATTTTGCATGACAATGATTTATATCTTTTATCTTCATATTTATTAAGAGAAAGATTAAATAGATATAAAAATTTCTATTGAAATTAGAAATGAATGCTTTACTTCCAATCCGTCCTACTATTTGGTAATAGATCTCTTCTCTACCATACTATGTATTTTTTATGGATCTCTTCAGCTCTTCTTTACTTATTTATATATATATATATACACACATTTTTCTATATTTATTAAAATAATCTTATAAGATATAATGCCATTTCTTTTACTATCTTTATTTTTTTGTTTTTTCAATTTAGATTGTCTGAATATATATGAATAAAAATTTGTTTGCACCTCCTATATTGGTATAGAACATTACGTTTTATCCATAAAATTTAGACTTTAATCTTATCAACCTCATATTCAAAATTAATACTTTTATAAATAACAATATTTAAAAATATACTCTCATATGAATTAGGTGCACTTAATGAAATTAAATAACTTAAACCTTGGACTTATCATTCGTTTTGTCAACCGATCTAAACATTAAGGTTGTGTTTTTCTCTCTCTTTTTTTTTGTTTTTGTAAAAATTAAGATAAACAGTAAGAAACTAAAAATTGTGAAGCAAAAAAGAAAAAGAAAATAAAAGAAAAACAGGATCCAAAAAAGGCAAATGCGGGTGTTGAGTGGGGCGGTGGGCCAAGGGGAGAGAGACATGTTTCCATTAATGGAACATTTCCTAATCCAGGAAACTTTACGCAAATAAAATAAGTTTAACCAAGTTAGTTACATACCAAAAACAAAAGGGTCCCCACATCAAACAATAAATAAATCAATAATAAAGTAAATAAAAATCTGACTTTCGTACACATATAAAAATAAAATAAAATAAAATCTGACTTCTCCTTTTTTTTTTTCTGTTATCTGCAGAGTGCAGAGTGAAAAGGACTTTTGACAGCAACGTTAACGGCGTTTAAGTGTTTCTCCGTTAAGGTGTCAGGAACTGGGCTGGCAGAGTGGGCCCACTTGCATCGCTGGGGACGTGTCAGAGATAATGAAGGGACGAGACAAATGGCCTTCCCGAGGTGAATTGGGAAAAGATGGGGATGAGTAAACTTTTTCTTTCTTTGACGGAATATTAGCTTACTCTTGTACTGTTATTGGGGCTTTCATGGTCATACTCTTAGGCCCACTGCTCCTGATCCCCTTTGCCTTTTTTTTCACCTTCTAACCTTTTTTTTTAACCATCCATTTTTTATTTTTTAATATTAATTTTTGATATTCAATAATTATATTAAATTTTAATTAATTTAAAATCAGTATCAAATTTTATTAAAAAAATTTTTTAACATATATTTTTTTATTTATAAAACTTAAAATCAAAATTTTACTTTAAAAAAATCAAATTTTTTTATTTAAATCAACAAATTATTAGTATCATTTTTTTTACTTGCCCATGTCGTTTTCTTATACCTGTCACCTCATTTTTTCTGCCCCTCCTCGTCATTTCATTAGGATCACTAACCCCTATTTGTTTTTCTTTTTCCCTTTTAAAAATAGAGGACTGATATTTGATTTAGAGCAGTATTATGGAGATAATTTTTTAATATAATTTTTATATATTATTAAATAAATATATATTTAATATTATAAATTTTATATAAATAAAAAAATTAATTATTTAAATGATACATTAAATTATATTCAAATGTGATAAAAAAAATTATCCAAAAATTATTTTTATTTGATTTATAACTTCATAAGTAAGGTGTATATATTTCTCATGGATATAGGTTGAACCCTATTTCAATATCAAAAGGATATAAAAATTGAAATCAATTGAATCCTGAATATTAGTAGATTGTATTTTTGTTTCTTTGAGTTTTTTATATTTCAACTTGGTCCAGTTTTGAAATTTGGATTGAAGACTATGTTACTGTTGATATAAGGCCTATATGAGTAATCAAACATCCTTGCTCATTTTCTTAAGCTAAATTTAGTAACAATTGCATCCAGTTGTTACGTGTACATGTTAAAAATAGATACAAAAATTTAGTTTAAATTGGCTAATGATGATCTTTTCTCTGGAGGGACTGTTATGGTATTCTTGAACAATCTTTACACTCGCATTGAAACTAATTACTTTTTAAACAATCTTAACAATATTAATAACATACTTTCATATTGATTTTATATATTTAAAGAAACTAATTTCATAAGTTATTTACTCAAAAACTTGAAATAGAAATTTAATTTACAATGTAACACTCATTTACTAGTAAATCATATCATTTAAAGTCATCTAATGATGTTGTTGTCTAATAACTTGATAATAATCTTATTATTTCTTTTGAAAACAAAGATAATTTGAGTAAATTAAAACATTAAAAACTTTTTTTGAACAATTTGTAATTATTTACAGGGTTAATTGGAGGAAAGGGGAAAGATATTTCATGAGATTCGAATATGCAACCCACTGAATGTGAACAACCCTAACCCAGAGTTCAATACCACTGGATTGGAGCGGACAGTTCTAAAACATTAAAAACTTAATGAAATTGAAAACATGAAAAATCAAGGATCAAATTATAGGCATAAAAGTCAAGGATAAAAATAAACAAGTTCTTTATTTTATAATTTATACTTATTAAATTATAAGATAACAATTATTAAATGGAGATGAAAGCAACTAATATTAAAAAATTTACATTTAATTTTTTTTTTACCAGTAAAAAATTTAAAAATGGAGGAATAGTTACAAAACTGCCAAAAACGATTGGTGCACTTCCATCGCGACTAAGGTCGCAAGTGTAAAAAATTTATATTTATTTAATAATTATAATTATATAATTTAAATTACACAACATTTTATTTAAACTAAATATCCTATAAAAAGAAAAAGAATATTTGTTGCATTTTGTTATGCAAAGATGGTTTCCCGCGGGAAATAACAGTTTAAAACCGAAAATAATCCCATAACTGCCAAACAGGGAACAGGGTAAAAAAACAATAAATACGAAAAGATGGGGACAGGTAATCCTTTTTTACACAGTAATAATAGGAATAACATTAACCCCATTCTCAAACCCTCAATCAAACAAACAACAAGTATTCGGGTCTAGTTCTAAGGGGGAGTCATTGTCGACCCGAAAAGGGATATTTTCCTCTCCGTTCCCAAACACTCCAGAAAGCGACCCATTATTATTCACTACGGACCTGCATCCATGTCCGTATAAAACGTAGAGAGAGAAAGAGAAATGACATTTAAAGGAGAGAGAACGACAGTGGGTCTCTGTTTTAGTGTTGCAGGCTCCCATGGCAGACTCTGTGCAGACAAGTTTTTAACTTTATATTGATGTATAGGAAATAATAATAATTCTGTATCTCTCTCTCTTTCTTCTTTCTTTCTGAATTTTCTCTGAATGAATGGTTCTTACAGTTGTATTCTGGGGTAGTTTCTTTCTCTTTCTAATTCTCTCTGTGTGGGTACTGAACGAGGCACTGTATTTAGAGCAGGGGGATGTGATTGAACGGACAGGCAGCTCTGCTCTTCTTCTTATCCTTTCCCGGCAAAAGAAATCACTGCAAATATTGACAAAGAAAAAAACTCTTTTTTTTTTCATGATTTGTATGATATTAATAATGCAATAATTCTCGTTTGTATGGGGTGGAAGTGGAACTCTCTCCTTCTGTCTCCAACATTTGAATGTCGGTGAGTTAAACAGGGGAAGGAGGGTTCTTCTGCTTCTTTCTGGGTGTTTTCATGGGTGTTTGAGTGTAAAAATGAGGGGTACTTGGATGGTACTGATGGCATTTCGTGTAGAGTTGATCCTCCTGGTTTCTCTTCTCTTTCTGGGTGTTGGTTCCGTGGAGTCTGATGAGGGTAAGTGATTGATTCTTCAAAGGGGCCTGCTTTTCTGTTTGGAAGCTGAGAAAATTCAAGAAATAGCAGCTAAGATTCGGGCAGTGCTTGTTTTTCTTAAACAAACTTCTACCTTTAGTTCACCTTTTTTTTTTTTTCTTCGATAGAGAAAGTTTAGTTAACTGTTTATCTCAACGTTCTTGTGATTGTGCTATGTTTTCCTTGTCTGAAATTAGAATTTTGAGTTGAGTTTTGAAATGGGTCTTAAAGCAACAAGCTTGATTTTGACATTTGAACCTCCTACTTTGGTTTTAGGGAAAACATTGCTGGAGATAAAGAAGTCTTTTAGGGATGTGGACAATGTTCTCTATGACTGGACAGACTCACCATCTTCAGACTATTGCGTTTGGAGAGGCATTACTTGTGATAATGTCACATTTAATGTTGTTGCCCTGTAAGTCTTTCACTTAAAACAGTTTTATGTGCTCTATGCTACTGTGTAATTATATTTCAACGTAGTTGGCATCACTCTATATGCTAAAATGTTCGTGGTTGCCTTTTTTTAAATTTTTAAATTTTTTTTATCCTAACCTTTCGTTGTTTCCTGCGATTGTAGTAATCTATCAGGTTTAAATCTTGATGGGGAAATCTCACCAGCAATCGGAAACCTCAAAGACCTGGTCACCATGTACTGTTACTCTTTTCCATGCCTTTGATATGAAGCGTTTTCCTTTCTTCAATTTTTATGCACTGTTATCCTTTTTTTTTTTTTTTTGGTTGCAAATAGAGCTGAAATGGGTTTACATTGATTGTTCTTGCGATTTTTCTTGAGCAGTGATCTCAGGGGGAATCGCCTCTCCGGACAAATCCCAGATGAAATTGGTGACTGTGCTTCTTTGAAAAGCTTGTAAGTCCTCTGTAACTCCATTACCTTAAAAGTTGCTTCTGGTTGCTGTCTCTATAATACTTAGTTAAGTTGAATGCTGATTGCTTTGTGTTAGGGACCTGTCTTTTAACGAGTTATATGGAGACATACCCTTTTCAATTTCAAAGCTGAAACAACTCGAGTTTTTGTAAGTTCTCTTGCAAGTATTCTTGGGTTGGATTTCCTTGTTTAAGTAGTTTGTATCCTTTCTTAGCTTTCTGTAATAGTAACTTGAATTGCAATGTGTTTTCAGAGTTTTGAAGAACAATCAATTAATCGGGCCAATTCCTTCAACTCTGTCACAGATTCCAAACCTGAAAGTTCTGTAAGTTCTTTTTCCTTACTCTTATCATTTCCCTGTAATTCAATGATCAATGTCAAGTCCTAAGTTCTTAGATATTGGGTTCAGGGACCTTGCACAGAATAGACTCAGTGGGGAAATACCAAGGCTTATCTACTGGAATGAAGTGTTGCAGTATCTGTGAGTGTATTAATATTGGATAATGTTGAAGTCTCCTTTCATTCTCTCAGAATGTATTTCATTCTGATTATTTTTTCCAATCTATTGATGTCTTCTATTTGATCCTGGACCTTGTTGTTCTTGTTCCTTCTTCAACACCTAGTGGATTGCGAGGTAACAATTTGGTGGGTACACTTTCTCCAGATATTTGCCAGCTGACAGGTTTATGGTACTTGTAAGTTTTCTCAATATCTGAACCTATAAATCCAACTACCCCTTTCCATTCATTCCAGTATTTCATGAGGTTCTTTTCCAGCCTAACTCAGGCTCTATTTCATTTGCAGTGATGTAAGAAACAATAGTCTGACTGGCAATATCCCTCAGAATATAGGCAACTGCACTGCCTTCCAGGTCTTGTATGTACTCAACTACCTTAATGAGGGAAAATGCTTTCAATGTGCCTAAATTTGTTAATTTGAAAATTTCTCTTCTTTTGATTGGTAGGGACTTGTCCTATAACCAGTTCACCGGAGAGATTCCATTCAATATTGGATTCTTACAAGTAGCTACGTTGTAGGTGCTCGGTATTTTAGGCCCTTTCAAATCAGTGTGACTGTTGAGGCTTTAGTTTTGTAATTTCTCATTTTCATTTCTTTCTAGATCCTTGCAAAGCAATCAGCTTTCAGGAGAGATTCCATCGGTCATTGGTTTGATGCAGGCACTTGCTGTATTGTAAGCACCTATTGAATACATAATAAGTGTCATGAAGTGTGTAATTGTATAATTTATATTTCTTTCTCTTCCTCCTTTTCCATCATTGTATTGAATACAGGGATCTAAGTTGCAACATGTTAAGTGGACCCATCCCTCCAATTTTGGGAAATCTGACATATACAGAGAAATTGTAAGGATGTCCCTCCCATTCACAGTTATTTCTACTAATTATACAGAACTTTTAGCATGCATTTTGTGCAATGTTTTGATGGGATATACCATTTGCTGTAGATATTTGCACAGCAACAAACTGACTGGGCCAATTCCCCCAGAGCTTGGAAATATGACAAAGCTTCACTACTTGTATGACGAATTCACCCTTTTTATTTTGCCTATATTCATTGTTAATGTGCTTCACCACCTTTCTACATCTTATCACATGATATTTGGATGAATATGAGATACATGAACATGCTAAGTTGATTGGATTTTCATGTTTCTTATATGAGTGTCAAGAATATTCATGGGCATCTGAAGCACTATTTTGTAACTTGCAGGGAATTGAATGATAATCATCTCGATGGGTGTATCCCACCAGAGCTTGGAAGACTAACTGAATTGTTTGATTTGTATGTTCACATTGGTGAATGTTCTATGTCTACTAGTTTCCATATATGTTGCCAGGCTAATGGAACTTCCTTTTTTACAGGAATGTTGCAAAGAATGACCTTGAAGGACCAGTACCTGATAACCTAAGCTCATGTACAAATCTCAACAGCCTGTAAGCATCTAATCATGAGTCTGTAGCTTATCATTTAAAATCTGAATAATTTTAAGGTGGTTATTAACAAGTTGATTTGATGCTAGAAACGTCTACGGGAACAAGTTGAATGGAACCATTCCACCTGCATTTCAAAGGCTAGAGAGTATGACATATCTGTAAGTTTCACTCATATATTGTCTGGTTTGAATATCTTCCTCAATTTGCTTCATAGATCGCTTAACTAAATGAGTGTGCACACATTGTTAAAATCTTACTTATCTTATTAGTTTTATGTTTTCTCACTTACATGCTCAGGAATCTCTCCTCCAATGATATTAGAGGTCCCATACCAATCGAGCTATCTCGTATTGGTAATTTAGATACGTTGTAAGTATTGAAGCCCAAGAAGTTAATTTTTTCCCTATGTATACATGAGTCTAACTCATTTCGGTTTGCCCAGGGACATCTCCAATAACAAAATCAGTGGCACCATCCCTTCGTCCATTGGTGATTTGGAACACCTTCTGAAGCTGTTAGTTCTTTCTGTGAAGTGGTATCTGCTTAAGTGCTTATTAAATATTTTCTGCCTGTTGATGCATGATTTTTCATGACATAGGAACTTAAGTAGAAACCATATAACGGGACCTATTCCAGCTGACTTTGGCAATCTAAGGAGTGTGATGGAGATGTAAGAATTAATACTCTTGCTATCATGAATGTGCATAACCTTTCTGTTCTCCTTTCTAACTACTTGTTCTGTGCTTTTGACTTGTAGAGACCTGTCAAATAATCAGCTCTCAGGCTTGATTCCTCAGGAGCTCACTCAGCTTCAGGATATGGCCTTATTGTAAGTAATTATATGTCAACCTCATTATTTTGGTGCATGAGAGGTATTGATTGGGTACCAAACCAGTAGATTTCCCTAAGTATATATATGAACATGTATGTAACATATATCCTTTTCTTCTTCTATATTGCAGGAGGCTGGAAAAGAACAATTTGTCAGGGGATGTCATGTCACTGGTCAACTGTCTTAGTCTTACTGTCCTGTGGGTTTGCCATCCACAACAATTTCTTCATTTTCTTTTAAATAAAGCTTTAAATATAGAAGGTACTATTGGAGTCTCATCTTTTAACACCACAAATCTTGCTGAAATCATGCAGAAATGTATCTTACAACAACCTGGCTGGTGATATTCCCACAAGCAATAACTTCTCAAGATTCTCACCTGACAGGTTTGAAATTTTCATTTTGTTGATTTATGAATTCTTAGGTGATATTTTTTGAATCAATGACTTCAATTTTGCTGCTACTATATTTTTCCAAATCTGAGTACCAGATAACATTTTTTGCGCAGTTTCATAGGAAATCCTGGTCTCTGTGGCTATTGGCTTACTTCATGCCATGGGTCTCATCCCACTGAGCGAGGTAATCATGGCCCCCTTTGAGTAAGACTATGTTTTCTGTCTAATAACCCTTGTATTCGAAGCAGATATCTACTCTGAAATAGCAAGATAAAGAAAGTATTTGTTTTATCATAATATTGCATCTATTAGGACCTGTTCTGACTATATTCTTGCTTGTTAGGAAAAAAGATAAAATGGTGGTCAAAGAATAACCATTTTCTTCCTAGAGTTGAGGTTTTTCAGTTGTAATCTGTGTTTGATGAGCTGAATTGTTCATTTACTGCCTTTTCTTGTCTATGCAGCTGTAATTTCTAAAGCAGCCATCCTTGGAATTGCTATTGGTGCCCTTGTAATTCTTCTCATGATCCTCATTGCTGCATTTCGCCCACACAATCCTACAACCTTTCCCGATGGATCACTTGACAAACCAGGTGCTTTATCATCTTTCTATAAAAACATATGGATATCATTTTACCATGAGTATATAATGTAGGCAAGTAAAGGATAGCTTACATCAGACTGAGGTTACCTTAGTTGCTGACTGTTGAGCAATTATACTGTATTATCTAAAACTGTCCAACTGATCCTACCTCATAGGTAATTGTGACAGGATGGGAAAATTTTTATGAGATTGGGTAACAGGACAAGTAATGAATAGGGCTAACTTGTGGCATATAAAAAATGTGGCTGATTATTGACCCACTTACTTTTTAAATAACAGTTATTCACTCGCCACCAAAGTTAGTGATCCTTCACATGAATATGGCACTTCATGTCTACGAGGACATCATGAGGATGACCGAGAATCTGAGTGAGAAGTATATAATTGGTTATGGTGCTTCAAGCACAGTCTACAAGTGTGTTCTTAAGAATTGCAAGCCTGTTGCCATCAAGAGACTGTACTCTCAACACCCTCAGTGCTTGAAGGAATTTGAAACCGAGCTTGAGACAGTTGGGAGCATCAAGCATCGAAATCTTGTCAGCCTTCAAGGGTACTCCTTCTCCCCCTCTGGAAACCTTCTCTTCTATGACTACATGGAGAATGGCAGTCTTTGGGATCTCCTTCATGGTAAATTTGCCTTTCCTAAAATGCATGTCTGCAGAGCAAACTTTCTTAGTTTTTAATTCTGTTCTTCTTTGTCTTAGGACCAACCAAGAAGAAGAAGCTTGATTGGGACACTCGTCTTAAGATAGCACTTGGAGCAGCACAAGGGTTGGCATACTTGCACCATGATTGTAGCCCACGGATCATCCATAGGGATGTGAAATCCTCCAACATTTTGTTAGACAAGGATTTTGAGGCTCACCTCACTGATTTTGGAATTGCTAAAAGCTTACCCATGTCAAAGTCTCATACTTCCACTTACTTAATGGGCACAATTGGTTACATAGACCCTGAGTATGCTCGCACTTCCCGCCTAACTGAGAAGTCTGATGTCTACAGCTATGGGATTGTTCTACTCGAATTACTAACTGGAAGGAAGGCAGTGGACAACGAATCGAATCTTCATCATCTGGTTTGTCTTCTTATCATTATTAGTTATTTGTTTTCAGTGTTAGAAAAAAGATGAACTTATTTTTATTTTAGAAACTTGAATTAACTTTATGTAGATAGTTTCCTAAGTAGCAACTTGCTCTCATTGTATCAGATTTTATCCAAGACAGAAAACAATGCAGTCATGGATACCATTGATCTAGAGATCAAGGCAACCTGTAAGGACCTAGCAGTGGTAAAGAAGGTTTTTCAGCTTGCCCTACTATGCTCCAAGAGGCAGCCATCAGACCGGCCAACAATGCATGAAGTGACACGTGTCCTCAGAAGCCTCATCCCACCGGACGCACCACCAAAACAACCCCAACCAGCGCCACTCCCCTCAACCAAGGCGCAATGCTACATGGATGAGTATGCAAATCTCAAGACTCCACACTTGGTCAACTGCCCATCTATGAGCACTTCAGACGCCCAACTCTTCCTTAAGTTTGGAGAGGTAATATCTCAAAACAGTGAATGAAACCTCATTGAAACTATCTTGAGCAGTGGGAGAAAGCGGAATTGATTATGTGTAAAGATTTGGTGTCAAGTATTGTAGCCTAGAGAAAAGGAGAAAAGATGGACCTTTTTAGGAACAGAATTGAAAGCTGCTAGTACCTAGAAAAATCATGTAAGTAAATTGTACTATATGTGATGCTATCATGGTGGTTATTTAAAGATTTTGGCTCGTCTTTAAGTTGGACCACTTGGGCAAAAGCTGTACCACGGTGGGGTAACTGTTGCTGGCCCTGGCTCTGAGAAGTAGGGTGTAGCTCTGCAGAAGCTCATTAATTGGGTGAGCAGCAATAATGCTTGGCTGGGCCTTATCACTCATTAATTGTTGGGACATTGAAAGTTCCTCTTTTTTTGGTTGCGTAGCTTTCTGCATGTTGCCCTTGTTTTGGGTTATTATAGTACTTAGTAGTAACTGTGAACGAATCATGTAGAAACTTGTGGTGTTGAATGGTTTACACGGTATTAGAGCTCAAATTTGTTTTATGTGAGCTCAACGCAGCTCAGATCACGTTGGATTAGACATGTTAACGTTGGATTAGACATGTTAAGTGAGAAAATCTCGAATCACAATAAATTTATGAATTTAATAGAAGTTTCTCTCATAATCCATTTAATTTTTGAATTTCTCTAACATTTAATTATATGTTTAATATTTTTTTAATAAATTTATATTAAAAAAATAAAAATTAATTTTTAATTTATTAATTATTTAATTAAATTTATTTTGATATTAAAATTAATATTAATTTTTTAAATTTATTTATATAAAA